TAAACATAACCATCTTCCTTTGCTTATCGGCATGGCACATAGTAATGATATATCTTAGAAACCATACACATTCTTAAATTCTTCAAGCAGATATATAATAACCTGAATTATTATTTAATATGCATTTTCTTTTCAATCTTAATAATACTGTGAATAAAAAAGCAACAAAATGGTATGAAAAGAAAATTATAGCTTTAAATGAAAGCTGCTTACTTTCACACCGAATTCTTGAGGCGATTTTGTTCTGGCATACTGAATATTTCTGGCCAGTTGTTCTAAAGCTCCATTCCTGAGAGCAAAAAGACAATGATATCATTTATTCAACAAGGAAGGTAACATCAATGATATAGCCAGGGTTTTTTTCCTAGGAAAAAAAAGAGCCACTACTCACAGAAACATGTTAAAAAAAAAAGGTGCTGGTTCTTAGCACAAAGTGTCTATTTCAGTAGCCCTAACAATGATGTTTTAAAAAAAAAAGTGCCAGTACTGATACCACTTCGCACCACCAAAAAATGAAAAGCTGTGCATATTTAGTGGATCTGACAAGGCAAGTCAGAATCTACTTACTTTTCTAATATTATTAGCAAAATATAAACCTTCATAAAATTATACTATAAAAAAATGGAAAAGTAATCTGTGCACAATAATCAGAGAAAGTAAATATGAAATGAAATAAACCAATAGAGTCTGGGATCCCGAAACCTGGTGGTTTCCACCACACGCACGCACGCACACCCACCCACCCACCCACCACTACCACCATATTTAGAAGTTTTTTCTGAAGTTTGTGTTTATATATATTATTATATTTATGTGCTATTTAAGATATTATTATCATAATCATCTTAAATCACTAAGGACTTAAACAAGGCACAGGCCCCTCTGAAGGCCATCCCCTCCCTTCCCTTTTAGGAAATGTGAAAGGGAATGAATGAGAATGACTGAAGAAATGATTGCAGAAATAGTGAGAGCTGAGTGTCTGGAAAGAAACACACTAGATACAAATTATGGCAATAACGATCCTGAAATCCTATGCTGTAATTGTGGAAGACTTCTTAATGTGGGCAGGCCTTGCCATTCACACTGACCATTGCCATGGGCTGCAAGTCTCCTGCCTCCTCAAAGCACAATATAATTCAATATAACGATCGTCTGGAAAGGCAGAATGGTGCCATCATGAAAGGGAGGTTGGGGGGGGGGGGGGGGGGGGGGGGGGGGGGGGGTGGCTGAACTCTCTAATGTATTCTACGTGTCAGCACCCCTAGATACAGTATCATTTGACATGGTAAGAAAGTTTACTTACTGGCTGTACGTGTCAACAAACAGCTTGTAGATGTGATATTTCAATGGCTTCAGCACACAGACATGGAGGGCTTTCTCAATAATAGCATCAATGTTCAATATCTCATTGGTAGCTAGCTGCAAGTTTTAAAAGCAAACATTCAATCAAATACAAAATCAAGGTTCAGCATGTGCCATCATCATCATCATCATCATCAAGTGCCATGCTAAACATGTGTGATTAGTAGTAGTAGTAGTATATTTTACCCCACTAGGACATCACACAAACGATAAACACCTGATGACACAAAGTGCCACCATGTGGATGAGGATCACCCATGGAGAGGTCCCGGAAACACCGTTCAGACATTAGGCCAGATTTATGGCCGGGCTATATTGCAGCCCCTGGCAAAAGCCAGGGTGGGGCTTCAAAATAACAAAAAATTGCATCCAACAAGGAGATGACCAGTGTTAAATGACTAGCATGTGTTGATTATCTGTCATAAACACTAGATGTGAAACAATGTTTTTGTTCCTGACATAATTTTACAATGAGAAAAAGAGCACTGGAAAATATCGTGACGACTGGAAATATCACTGGTAGAAGAGAAAGGATGGTGGATGGCTTAAGACAGCTGTAAGGAGGAATATCATTAGTAGAACTAACCCAGAACACCAAAGATCGAGATCTGTGGCAACGCATGAATGCCTACGCCAGCTGGCAAGGCCTTTGATGATGATGACAATGACCTATCTAAACAAGTATTTATCTATCTCTTACAACATCTGTCCTGTCTAAATAAGTATGTTTATATCTCCCTTGATTTTTCCCCTCCATCAAATGTGCCAGTTTCACTGTTTTTAAAATGATATAATAATATGCGAAAATGAATTTTAAGTTTCTATAGTCTGCCAAACACTGTCAATTACTGCCTGTATTTATCAATTTTGTGGTTTGCACAGGGAGGCCCAGGGATTTACAGTCACGTGGCTAGTACTGAAACCTGGACTGTGCAGGTTAGGATTTTTTTGTTGTTGCCCTTGACAGAAAAACCCCATGACTTTGCCGAGGATGCAAACCTCAGTCTCCCATATGAGAGACCAGCGTTTTCAATTATCTCTCCAGCTGCTCCAAGCATTTTCTATAATCAATTCAGTTTCTTGAAATGCCTCATGTGATTGCTGTGCACATGGAAACAGTAAAAAAAAAGTGAAGGACCCTTGTCATATCAGTGATGCACCTGGCATATGATGGTAGACCCATATTTTTATAGACCAGTTTGCGCTTAAAGGGTGATGTGGTCAGGACTTTACCTGATATTCATTTTAAGTTTCTCTGTCTTTTTCTTTCCTTCTTATTTTTTTCTTCATTTCTCTCTTTGACCTTGTGAGAAATTTATAGACTAATAACCAGAAAAGATCTCAAATACTTAATTGTTTCTTTAATGATTTTTAAACAAGTGAGGCTTTAAAGATGCTACATTACCTTGTTTCGCTCCATCTCAATTAAGCTCTTGAGCTCTCCTTCTCCATGCTTCACCAGATAGTTTTTAATCCCAGACAGGAACTGTCGAACCTATAGATATAACGCAGAAGTTTTGTTCTGTTGAACTGTGAATAATTTTTTTTACATTACCACTTAGGGAGCTGTGATGACTAGATGTAGGCCTACTGGCTTGGTAGTCATCTGTTAAATCTCTTTCAATGTGAAATTTGTTTTTACTGACCTTAGCTCCCAGCTTGATCCAGCCAAAAATGGTATTGGGACAAATTCTGGGAAGTATAACTGACCACATCATACAAAGCAACACCATTCAACTGGTGGCCCGCATGCCAAATCTGGCCCATGGAGGCCTAGCAAATGGCCCACAGATTACTGCTAATTATATTGTATTAATCATCTTTCTATGCTTGAGATCAGGCCTCTTGCATGCAAAAGATCCTCATTTTCAAATTTTTGGTCCCTGAGTAAACTTAGTTAAAAAGCAATGCCCTAAAGTGTCATCATCATCATCACCATCATAACACCCTGTGTTGCTGAGTCATCAGTTGCTGTTGAATGTTTGATTCATTCTCTCCACCTCTGTCAGTGACAGTTAGGTTAGTTGCGTATCCTTTACAGGACGTTGCAGAACCAACCCCAACAGCCCCTGGCTGTTGTGTGGTTTTTCTAGGCAAATTTACGTCCAGTAGTTTGGTCAGTGACAGTACTGACTGATTTAAACAATTTAAAAAAAAAAAAAGACCTAGTGGAGATCATGAAAAGATAATTTTCTTTACATTACTCACTGACATTTATCTTTTCCTTGTAAAAGTCCAGGTTAACATTTCTGAAATATCTTTACATTCTAGAATGTGTATGTAATGCTCACCGTGTCAAGAAAACATGGAGTTTTATAGAATTTAGGGCCTTTCTTTCATCTTTTTAGCACTGGGCTCATTGACCTTTACTTTATATAGACCAATCAGCATTTAATGGATGATGTAGTCAACATCATGCTGACCACCTTTACTTCCCAGGACATTACCTGGTAACCATGTTAGGTTGGGTTGACCTTGGACCAAAGGTTAATTTTGACAAATATCATTATATCTACAGTGTGGATTTGAACCCTATTCATTAGGGTGGCAGGGAAGCATCTAGCCATATAGCGTGATCCTGTTCTGGCTGATGTAACGACGGATGGCTCCCACATGGTTTTCCTGTCTCCCTGCTCCAATTGGTACACCCGCAAAACTGAAAGCCTCACAGTATTTAGTTTCTTGTATGGCCTTGATGCTGCCTTTCCTTGTCCATAGAAGGCCCATTCCTGATAGTTGCACTGCCAGCCAGAGCATCTGCTCTCTCATTGCTTTTCACACCAGCATACCCTGGGACAAAAAGGAAGGTGATTTTGATTTTTGAGCTTCTGTCACAGTCAATTTGAAAGATACTCGGCTCCTCGTCAGCTCTACTGCCTCACCCATTTTCCTGCTCAAAATGTCTCTTATTTCCTGCACCAGTTTTCATGCCTTCTACTACTGTTATCTCAACTCGACTGTAGTGTTTGGCATGGTCATTTTAGTTTTTTTGATACAAGATGCTATTTCTGAGCCAAATTTCCTTGATTTTCAGATCATTTAGTATGTCAAAGCTGTATTGGATCTTTGAAAATCTAGCCAGATTCTTGATGTGCTGAGACCAAAGATACAATGATATCCCATGTATTACTTGATAAACGCTAATAATTTTATGTGGTGCAATACTTAAGATAGCCAAACAAGATTAATGCAGCAAAATTATGGTTTTATATAATTATGTCATTTATTATTTTTTTGTTCCATTTATTTACATAACATTTGAATACCCTAATGTGGTTATTTCAGAGTCAGTTTACTTTTTTGTTCTGTGTTTTGTTTCTCGCCGCTGGATATTAAGTATCTGGGACAGACAATTCTGAAATAGGAAGTGCTTAAGTACTTGGGTTAGAAAATGGTAAGTACTTGGGATAGAAAATACAAAACAAATAGGACTGAGCATTGTTCAGTGCTTAGAATAGAATATGTAATGCATGGGTTAGAAAATATTCAGTGAATGGGACAGAATGTCTTTGATGCAAGGGGTAGAAAGTGTTAGGTACTTGGGATAGAAATTGTTCAGTGCCAAGGATAGAAAAAGTTAAGGCACCATACAAAAAAAATATGTGTGGTGATACAATCAATATGGTAGCAACACTTACATTGCGCATCACATGCTGTGGATTTCTTTCATGGCTCTCAACGGTACACTGAATAAAGTTTTCAATGGTGCTACCAAATATGGTATTCTGGTCACTGGACAACCTGTTGTGAAAATATACATAAACAGAATTTACTTTCATGTGAACTTCATTTTCATCAATCACTGTAGCCTTCTGCTGGCTCTAGAACCAGCTGCACAAATGTCATGATTTTAACTGACCAACAAAGCATGTTGAGAAAGGTAGAAACATGTATGCTCTATGCAGAGTGGCAAGCATCGCTTCATAAATCCTGGATAGTTAGCATTCTTTGGATATTTTCTCCAGGAAATTCAAGTGTCTTGAGAAATGAACAGTCAGACAGATTGGCTTGTTCTGCACCACTTGGTGGTAAACTGATACAGGGCATCTCTGTGTGAGTTCTGGAGCCCCATGTTGGGGTGAAAAGAACAGATCCACTGCCCCCCTGACATGCATACTGGAAAAGGTGACTAAAGAGGGGTTTGCTGAAACTGATGTGTCAAAAGATGCAGATATCGCTACCAAGTCATAAGCTAAGTGTCACCTGCCCTTTTAAAAGTGAACATAGAATGTATGTATGTATGTCTGGTGAGAGTGATGCAGCGGGGAGTGACAGGGGGATCTAGTTAATACTTGTTGCTCAGAGAAAAAGCAAGACGGACGTATAATCAGAATGCTACTGGCCCCATTGGTATTGGAACTCTGCACTGGCTGCTGAAAATGGGGGTGGAGCACTTATGGGAATGCCCCGAGTGCTGTGATGTCAGTTCTTGAATCAACTCAAATCAGCACAGAACAAGAAAAAGAAGAAGCAGATGAATGACAAGCTAGATGTTATCAAAACCCTTTTAGAGTAAGAGAACATTGTAGAAGCACACAGAAATCATTATGGTCTGAAGAGAAAGGTACAATGGGAAGTAACCAGAGGATCTGGCCAACATTCGATGCTCAATGGTCTGTCTTGCTCTGTCTTGCCTTTCCTCTGAGTGTAGTGAGCCAGCCCGACCCTCTGGTTACACCCAGGTGCCTCATTCTCTCCAGGCCATAATAATCTTGTTTTTCTACTGATTCTGTTGCTTGTTCCCAAAGGGCCTTGACCACATCTGCCTTGTCATGTATCAATTCACCACCCAGTGGTGCAGATTCAGTCAGTCTATCTTCCTGTTCCTTACCCATCATGCCAGCATGGCCTGGAGAAAAGATCCAAAGTATGCTCACTACCCGTGACCTTCCCAGTGAAGCTTGCCATGCAAGAATTCTTCTTTAAAAATCCCCATCCCCAGTTTGTTTTCATCATTTCATGACTCACTGTTCAACATTCACATCTGCATGCACAGGTCATGAACTATATGTACCAGGACCAGAGCTCATACTGGTCAAAACCTATTTATACCTTTCTGTGGTCATCCTGGAAATATGTTCCTGGCCAGAAGCCTGGTCAACATAAATAGGATCAATGTTACCTTCAAATTTGAAGGGTCATCTTCCTTATCTTCCTCGGGTAATTATTTAACAGGTAAAAACTATGTAAGAAAAACAGTCAATGTAAATTACAAAACATTGAAAAATTAGAACATTTTATTAGAAATGTTAACTTTGACACCTTGGGAGGCCATAAACTTGCATTTCCATCATTGTCACATCCCTGCAAAGGCCATGCAGCCGGCATGTCTGTAGTGTCTTGTTTCCAAAAAGCGTATTTAATGTCACTGGTTATGTTCATGCCTGTTAAACCTTTATGAGGCCAGGATATAAATATATTTACTAAAAATAGCATTTGGGGGGTTTCTTTTGTGTGAACCAAATGGCTTTTTAGCATTTGCAGTGTGAAATGATTAAGTGAAAGGGTTAAAGCAGTTTAGCAATTAAATGAGTGATACAAAAAAATATATCAATTCATACTCACATAACAATGTAATCTCGAATCTTTTTTTCCGGTGTTTTCCAATCATAATTTTGAGAATTGGAGCTTTGTTGGGCTTAAAATAAAGCATGAATATTCAATTATTTTTTGCACTGAGAAATGAAGTCAGATTCTAGCATACAATCCTAAAATATGAAGAATGAAATGATCTGGGATGGAGAGATTATATGTACACACTTAAGACTGAAATTACTGTTTCAATTTTTGTTTCCTCTGAAGTCTGCATATAGGCTACGTTTTTAAAAAGTAAGATCTTTAAAATGGATGCACAAACAAAACTCAAGTGCTAGAACAAGATTAAAGTGCATAAGTGGAAGAACAATTAGAACTTGTTGCCAGAATTTACAGCTGGTGAAAGCTAAAAAGAAGAGAAGAAATTTTCTTTCTGGCATACAATGCATCAATAAGATCTAAATAATCTTTTCATTGTCTTTCTGGGATACAGTGGTATTAATAAAAATGAAATTATCTTCAAATCTCTGTCAGGAAGATACTTTTGAAATATAGTAGCATTTTTTTCTGGGATGCAGAGGTATGCATAAAGATACGCTTAAAATATATTACCCTTAAAAATCTACACTCCTGTACTCTGCTATATTTACTACATAATCTGTGTAAGATTAAATAACCAAAGGTAATTGATAAGCATAAATGTCCAATAATGCAATAAAAATATATATATATATATATATATAAATCGCAGTTATTACCAAGATGGGTCGGACAAAATATTGATGTATCAATTAATACCGAAGTTCATCATCAATGAGCATGTCTTGAACCATCCTCATGCAAGTCGACCCCTGCCTCACTTTACACAAACTACACCATCCATCACCGTCTTTTCCAAGCCTCTGTGATGTTTGATATGGCCAAAATACTTCAACTTTCGGGACAGGATGCTGTTTATGAGCCAGTTCTCTTTGATGTTTAACTCACGTAGAATGTTGATGTTTTTTCTCTTCTTGATCCATAGTATTCTGAGAACCTTTCTGTACAATTTTAATTAAAAAGCTCCAATCTTTTTCTTCAGTGACTGAGTAAAAGTTCAGGACTCACAACCGTAAGTTGCCACAGGAAAAATGTATGATCTCAAGATTTTTACTTTAATTTTTACCATTGGTATCCACAAACGAAGGGCTACCTATGGATCATGCTGATATTATTAGGGCCCTCTGAGAAATGGGAAGGGTGGGGGACTTAGAGTTCAGTGGATTCACATCACTCGCCAGAATGATAGACTTGGGAGTTAAGACTGACATAGCCAAAAACGAGACGCACACCAGGCACATCAGAGGACTTGTTAATCAACATAGAACTAGTACTTTTAGCCACCGGATGCTGGGGCTCATACTGAGGAGAGGATCTGAGCAACCATGGACATGTCTGGAGTGCAATGATGATAACCCAACTAACAAACTAATTAACCAACCCCAAGAAGCTGAAAACTGTTGGGTCTAGTTCCCTGTAAATGGCACTTTTCCAACCTGCCTATCGTGACCTATTTACAAGATGTATAATTAAAGCAATTGGCTGTTTTCATGCCTGCCCAAATGTTTAAGAGGTCAGAATATGAATACATTTGTGCTAAATGGCTTTTTTAAGTCAAGATGTCAGGTTTCCTCATAAGCTTTAGTCATAAAAGTCACAGGTTTACAGCATGAGTCACCTAATATGTATGTGTTTTTTACCCCAAGGGAATTTATTCATCAACCCATTCTAATTTATTGATTACTCCCTTCGTATCTTTATATATTTAAAAAAAAAAAAATTTTATATATTGAAAAACGCATTTTTAACGAGTTTATTAGTGACCTATGTAAATTTGTTTTTTTCAAATATTTTTCAGAAATTCGAATAGTTTCTTGACCTATTTATTTTTAGAGTTCTCAGGGTGAAAGAGTTAAATCCTCAGGCTTAAGATTCCCCTGTCCTGCATCACCCAGTAGTAAATATAGGCAGTATAAAGACAGACTACAAGAGAGTCATAGCTTTTAGACCTGCCTGTACCCGTGATTAAACCCGGACCACAGTCTTGGTTGGCAAATGCTGCAAAGTTTATAACAAATAAACTCTCTGTGTGGGTTCTGGGACCCCATTTGGGGGGGGGGGGAATAGACCCACTGCCTCCCCCCAACCCCAACAAGCATATCATTAAAGGTATCTAATTAAGGGGATTTCCTTTGAAGTCAGAATGCATATGCCTGAGAGGCAAGGAACCAGCAGTCTGCATATAAAAGAGCCAGATCTGTAAAATAGATTTGCACACAAAATTCAAGTTCTGGAACAAAACCAAAGCAGACTTTTTCACTGGAGTTTACAGCCGGTGAACACGAAGAAAGAAGAAAAAAAAATAAAAATAAACCACTTAAAGCAAGAATTCCTTTTATAACTATCTTACATACCTAACATTGGCGGCAGGTGAGTCACGTCTCTGCGAAGCACAACATCAGCCTCTTCCTCTGTCCTAGCAGCTAATACTGCAGCCTTGAACACATCACTTTGTTGAGAATCCTTCACCCCAGCAGAGTCTTGACTTGCCAGTTTGTTGTGGCAGTTGACCACATCTGGACACTGTGAGGATAATCTGAGGGGTGGCAGCAATTGTCCTTTCCTCTTGTTGGTGATGACCATGTCATCAGTGGACCGGGGCGTTGAAGGTGGGGATATTTGTTTTGAATCAATACCTGTATTTATAATCACAGTAACGGTTACAGTGAATACCTGAACTTCTAGAATGTTTCTTCTTTTTCTTTTGTCAAAATCTGCTTGTGCCGCTAGGCGTCGCAGTCTATCAGATGATCGGCAACCGAGCCAGGGTGCGCTCAGTCGCCTCATATGCCGTGATGTTATGAAGTCTCAAGTTGTCCGTGACTCATTCAATCCATCTTCTTCTTGGTCTTCCCCTGCCTCTTGGTGTTTCGATTTTCATGTTGTATGCTCTTGATGCTGGCATCATTGGTTCCATTCTCATTAGGTGACCAAACCATTTCATTCTTTGCTTCTCAATAAATTTAACGATGGGTATGGTTCCAATAGTTCTTGTAATCACATCGTTTCTCACTCGATCTCTTCTGGTTTTATTCGCAGCCATTCTCAAACATCTCATTTCACAGAATGTTTAGTAACATAAAAAAAGGATGCTATTTGGTATTACTGATATTTTTTTTTTAAAACACTTTCATGGTTTATGGACAGTGGTGCTTCAATGTACCATGGAAGAGATTGTGGCCTTATTATGAAATATTCTCAAAGGCAGTATAGGGTACACTGTAGCCAACATTCATTGTGGAGACGGTACACAACTGGGTACGCCCACATCTTATCAGCTTTGAGATTTCATAGGGAATTCCTAAGGATTCCTAGGGGTTTTCCTGGACCGTACCATATTATAAAGGGGGGGGGGGGGGGGGGGATTAGGGTTAAGGTTAGGGCTAGGGTTAAATTAATAGTGACTACTACTAATCCTGGCTCTGTGGCTTAGTCAATGCGAATGCTTCGTAATGCCGGGGTGCCAGGTTCGATCCCAGCTGCGGGCCATGCACCTTGCGTTGGTTTCGACAGTGGTATCAGGGAGCGGACCGTCCAGAAAGCAATGGCAAACTACTGGAAGTAAATTTGACTAGAGAAACCACACAACAGCCAGGGGCTGTTGGGGTTGGTTCTGCAACATCCTGTAAAGGGTACACAATTAACCACTATTAAGCCTAACCCGAAACCCCCTCTCCCACCCCCCCCCCCCCATTTTATGGGATTTCTGGGGATTTCCCTACCAAATCTCAAAGCTGATGAGATGTGATCCTATAAAATAAAATAACCCACAAATTATTTATTTTACTATTGATTATAGTGAATCAGAAGGTGAGGAAAAGATGCTGTATAGAAAACACACTGATAAAATCTGATAATAATTATACTAAAATGTTTTTGCACTGAAACACACTGGGCTAGAGAAATAAAGTAAAGGACGACGGTTCTCCTTTGAATCGTTCCCCAAAATGGCGGCTTTAATATGATGGCGTTCGAAAGAGAGCTAAATTGACCAATTTCTGGCCATAAAATATCCAAAAATATCAGAATGCGGGTCAGTTCTATTAAAAATATATGTGCCGGCTCCGGATAATGCTCTGACAGGGTCTCGTCGATACGTTGCTTGCCGACCTGCTTCTGCGAGTGTGCCTCACCGCCGAGTGTATCCCCTGCGCCACTACGCGCGGCGCAGATAGGGGCTAAACTAGATGGCTGGGACTCACGAGCGGCAGCTACTGCATCTCCTGCAACTTTCTCCAATTACTGTACTCGCGAGTCCCAGGCACCTAGTTTAGCCCCCATCCGCGCCGCGCGTAGCGGCGCGGGGGATAGGCTCGGCGATGAGTTTAATCGCGTTTGGCGCATGCCGACAAGTTTGACATCTACCGCTGCTAAATCCTCCAATCGGAAGAACACAGTATTGCTAATCGGCTTTCATCGTCTGTAATGTCTCAAAATTGGTCAACGGTCGCTAATATCGTCTGCAGAAACGCTCGAAATTGTTGTCAAAGGTCGGTATTTATCGTCTGCTACTACTACCGTGTGCAAATGTTGATATTGATTGTCAAGTTATCCTAGTTTTGCCGCGATTTGTTCCTTGGCAGAAAGTCCGGATATTTTTGGATATTTTATGGCCAGAATGTGGCATGCCGCCATTTTAGGGAATGATTCAAAGGAGAGCCAAGGACTCATTTCATGCATTTCAGGTTAGACCTATATTTTTTTTTTTTTTAAACAGAAACAATGAACTACAGACCTTGATAACTCCATCTCTTTTTCTGTTCTTCTTCCTTTTGAATGAAACGTCCACTGGCTGTATTCTGATTAAGGTGCAGCATTGAGTCGACAGTTGGATTAGTTTGAACCTGATGAACTTTGACAGCACTGTCTCTAGTTTTAATCTTATGCTGATGCTGAAATAACAATTGCTGCTGTAAACTGTACTGCTGTGACTGATTTACATCCAAATGACTACTAATGTTGCCTAGTCTGTTTTTATCACAGCTGGAAAATGTCTCATCTGGGTTGTTACTGTTGAAAAAGGTGTTGTTTGCTTGCTGCCAGTGTTCTATACGATCTTGGGTGTTCATGTCTGGTAACATTTTATGATTGGACTGTACTTCCTCGATCAGTCTTCTTGTTGAGGTTGTGTCCCAAGGTGGGGAGTATACTGTAGCTAGACTACCCAGTGTTGAGGTCTGGGAAAGAAGAACAAGAAACTTTGTATGAGCTTCTTAGCTTGACAAGTTCACAAATGTTGGCACCTTTCCATCAGATGATAGTGTTCCACTGTGCTGCAGAGAGGCATGAGAATCACAGCCCATGACAATTCTGATGAAGTAAAGGACCCTTTTCTATGCCTTCAAGCCTACTGGACATACAGGGCTAGACCTATATTTTATAGAACTATCAGAGTGGGTGATGTAATCACAGATGCTGCCACCTTTACTTCCCAGGACTTTACAAGGTACCCATTTAAGGTTGGGTCAATCGATGAAGACCACAGATAAATCTTTTCTTCTAGCACAATATCTCTTAGAGACAACCTGCTGCCCATGCAGCACAGTCCCTCCCTCTGCCTGCTTCAACTCCAAAGCAAAAGTTGCAGCAATATGTTTTGGAACAATGCATGATTTCATGGTTACAGCACACACAAAAAGGGCAAAGAAAGCTAGAATACTACTACAGTCTGATAAAGATATGACCTATCAGTTTCATATTTGTGCCAGGGCATGCAGGCTTGCAAGGGAATGAGCAAGCTGATTGGTTTGCAGATAAAGCTACCGTGGAGGGCGAACAAGCAATGATCCATGCTGATATTCTGAATGCTCTACAAGAAGTAAGATGTTTGTGAGAGCCATGTGATGACTGTGAATCTGCAACCATGACCAGACTGAAAGTACAACACATTAAAAGGGGTGTGGCCAGACAAGAACACAATGCAGGAAGCCAAAGAAGAATAGGAAACTAACACAGAACTGGTGTCATGAGTCGCTACACACTGCGGGATTTATTAAGAAGGGAATCCAAGCACTTATGAACTGAATGGTTCAATGTGCAATGAGGTTAATTTGTTGACTAACTAATTAACTAACTAACTAAAGATATCAATTGTTATGAGGCCAAGAGATTAACTTATAGAGCTAGTTAGGAATCACAGCATACTTCAGAAAGATAATACATATACCAACTTGACCAAGTAGCAAACTTCCTTCCTTGCACATGACATTAAAATATGCTAGTTGCATATCTTTTACAGGACAAATCAATCATATAATCTACTTCTTGTTGTATTGTTTTTCTTAGCAATTGAACAATCAGTAGTTTGCTACTGCTTTCTGAATGGTCTACATCTCATTCAGTTGTCAAGGCAGATACAAATCAGTCATTATATAACATTTTATAAAACATTATATCTCACGGTTTTACTTTACTTTATTTAAGATACTATCTCAAGTTTCAACATTAGTTTATACAGCATATCTCAATTTTCTTTATCACTTTATACAAAACATTATCTCAGGTTTCTACATCACTTTATATAACATATTATCTCAAGTTTCTACAGAACTTTATATAAAACATTATCTCAACTTTCTACCTCACTTTATAAAACATATTATCTCAAATTTCTTCAGCACTTTATATAACATATTATCTCAAGTTTATACAGCACTTTATATAACATATTATCTCAAGTTTCTACAGCACTTTATATGACATATTATTTTAAGTTTGTACATTACTTTATATAACATATTGTCTCAAGTTTCTACAGAACTTTATATAACAATATATCTAAAGTCTCCACCTCACTTTATATAACACATTATCTCAAGTTTCTACCATACTTTATAAAACATATTTTCTCAAGTTTCTACAGCACTTTATATAACATATTATCTCAAGTTCTACAGTACTTTATATAACATATTATTTTAAGTTTCTACACTACTTTATAAAACATATTGTCTCAAGTTTCTACAGAACTTTATATAACAATATATCTAAAGTCTCCACCTCACTTTATATAAGATATAATCTCAAGTTACTACCTCACTTTATATAACATAATATCTCAAGTTTCAACATCACTTTATATAACATATGTCCAGTTTCTACATTACTTTAACCTTAAATGGCTACCTGTTAAAGTCCTGGAAAGTAAAGGCAGATAGCTTGCTGTTGACCACATCACCCAGTCAGTGCCAATTAGTCTATAAAATATAGGTCTAGCCATATGTGCCCAATATCTGAAGCCACGGAAAAGGATCCTAAACTGACATCTCTTATATGTTATCCCAAGTAGCTCTATCAATTATATTTGTAGTGGTCAAAAAACACTCCAGCCACCTTAACTTCCCAGGACATTACCTTGTACCCAGGCTAGGTTGACCTGGGAGCCAAGGTCAGTTTTGACAAAATCTGCCTCTATGTGGATTTCAACTCCAGACCTTTGGCTCTGCAGTCCAGTGTCTAGCTGCTAAGCTACCGAGGTTCTCGTTATTGTATTACTTACATTATATGATATCCTAAATATCTGTATTACTTACATTATATGATATCCTAAATATCTGTATTACTTACATTATATGATATCCTAAATATCTGTATTACTTACATTATCTCCTAAACTTCAGCATCAGTTTATATTGTATTACTTACATTATATGATATCCTAAATATCTGTATTACATACATTATATGATATCCTAAATATCTGTATTACTTACATTATATGATATCCTAAATATCTGTATTACTTACATTATATGATATCCTAAATATCTGTATTACTTACATTATATGATATCCTAAATATCTGTATTACTTACATTATATGATATCCTAAATATCTGTATTACTTACATTATATGATATCCTAAATATCTGTATTACTTACATTATATGATATCCTAAAATATCTGTATTACTTACATTATATGATATCCTAAATATCTGTATTACTTACATTATATGATATCCTAAATATCTGTATTACTTACATTATATGATATCCTAAATATCTGTATTACATACATTATATGATATCCTAAATATCTGTATTACTTACATTATATGATATCCTAAATATCTGTATTACATACATTATATGATATCCTAAATATCTGTATTACATACATTATATGATATCCTAAATATCTGTATTACTTACATTATATGATATCCTAAATATCTGTATTACATACATTATATGATATCCTAAATATCTGTATTACTTACATTATATGATATCCTAAATATCTGTATTACTTACATTATATGATATCCTAAATATCTGTATTACTTACATTATCTCCTAAACTTCAGCATCAGTTTATATTGTATTTCAAGTGTCTGCATAAACTACGTTATATCCCTAGTTTCTAGATTGCTTATATTGAAGTAAAAGTTTCTTCTTCTTTTTTTTTTTCCCCCGCTGTAAACTTCAGTGGAAAGTGCTGGTTGTTCATCCACTCCTGGACTTTGGTCTTGATCCAGAACTTTTGCATGCATATTTATTTTACAGATCTGGCTTAGTTGTATGCAGACTGTTGCTTTCTTGCCTCTCTGGCAGATCCACTCCAACTTTGAACCCCTAGTTAGTTTCCTCCTATGACATGCTTGTTAGGGGGGGCAGCGGGTCTATTCTTTGTTCTTGGAAATGAAGCCCCAGAACCCATACGGGGAGAATTAAAAATGTCAGTATCACTTACATTGTATCCCAAGTTATCATATTCTGATTGTGCACCTTCGACTGTCTCATCAACCTTGTTTAAACCAGCAAACAATGGTCTGACTGAAAGCTCTGGATGTCTACAGAATATCAGATCTTGCACAGTGGAGGAATCTGATAAAGTGGAAACCCTCTGGACTTGCTGGAGACCAACTGGGAACCTACTTGCTGAAGGACTCATTATGACAGCTGGATTCTGTGATATCAGTGGTAGGCACAGATTAAAACCATCAGAGTCTACCACTGTAGCTAAAGTCTTCCTTTGATACTGTGACTCTGAAGAACTTCCATTAGGCATTCTTAATGTTGTTCCAATCCTTTTATGGTGTATTTTGCTTCTCTGTTTTTGTGTTTCTGAAATGTCAGTTGAAATTTTATGGCTTTCATTTTGAAAAGAATTACCTCCTGCATGCAATGGTTTTGGTTGAGTTGATATATTAGAAATATCAAAAACAAATCTGGCTTCTGTGCTGCTATCAGTATGAGTACCTGGTGAGAAGATTGTCTCTAATTCTGGATGTTGTGAAACTTTTGACTGTTGAGTCTTTCCAGTCCTGTCTTTGACTCGGAAACTAACACTGGAAGGAGCAGAACGTCGTCTGATCTGAATGTTTATATCCCTTCCTTTCTTGTCCCTTAACCTAACAGTATCAGCTGGCTCTGCATATGGTGGGCTGGGTGCTGCGATTAATGAAGATTCAGATGATGATTTTTTCCTGGATAAGTTATCCAGGCGAGATGGCAGACGTATGGTTTTGTTTCTACATGTAGGTATGACATCAGTACATGCATATGTTAGTTCATTCTGAGCTACTGTTGTTCCATTGACAGACATTGGTGTATTAAAAGAACAAGCAGAAACTGAAAGAGCATGATTCCCTGCAAACACTTCTGAAGTTTCACTCTTAAATGACAGATCCGTCTCATTTTGTTGATTAAAATCTAAAAATCTGGAAACAGCATTGATTTCTGTTTGCTTCGTAACAGCTTCTGAGTTACATGTGCTGCATTTATTTAAAAAGGAAGTACTCAACTGTAAAGATTTTTCAGTGAATATATTCCTAATTTCTTCATTATCCTCAGGAAATAAATCTGTCACAGCAGCATCATCATCATCAACATAATCACTGGATGAACCTGCAATAATCCGTGCTTGCTCTAAAGCTGTAAGTCCCAGCATGCTCTTTGTCATAGCTTCATGACCCGTGTTGATGATGTGATGTGATGTAGAATGTTTAGGTGTATCTCTCACAATTATTTGTTTTGTTTCTCTGGCATTGTTATTATTATTATCACATGAAAATTGTGAATCATGAACTATAATTGGGCTTTTTCTATCCACATCAAATTCACTACATGAATTTCTCCAAATGTCTTCATAATCACTCATCCTGTCAGATAAATTTGATCTGAAGTAACTGTTCTCTGGCATTTCTAACAGATCAAGATTTGTTGTGAAAT